GGGGTTAACAAAAGATGTATAAGGATAAGTTTAGGGGTTAACAAAAGATGTATAAGGATAAGTTTAGGGGTTAACAAAAGATGTATAAGGATAAGTTTAGGGGTTAACAAAAGATGTATAAGGATAAGTTTGGGGGTTAACAAAAGATGTATAAGGATAAGTTTGGGCGTGATGCATCTTAGGAATGCTATTTATGTCTAGCAATAGTATCAAATCACTTACAATCTTTCATCATTATTAAAATTATACTTCCTTTTTTTTATTGGGTTAAGATTCAACATTTATTGAGAAAGTTCCTTAACATAATTTTAATGCATTAAAATCTTACAAACTGACTTTAAGTAATGGTATTAGCAGTATGTCTACAGAATAAGTGATAAAATTAACAAATAAAAACACAAGAAAAATGGTGTTAATATATACACACTTTATTATCACTGAAACTCCCGTTACTGAGTTCCCTTATATACATGAACAAAACTTTTAAAGAGCAAAACTATTGTCTCCTAGACTGTCTTCTGTTTTTTACATCTTTTTCCTTGTAAAAGTCTGTTTTCTTATTCATTTCTCGAATTTCCTGCCTTTGAATACGTCGTTTCTGTTGAATCAAAGAAAAATGGAAGCAATGAGGACTGAATGATAAAATAATTTCAAAAATAATTTTATTTAAGTATGCAGGATTCAATAATCATCACACATAATAAAGGTGCTATGATTGGCCATTGGGGACCATGAAAAAGTCAACGCAGGTAATCTTTGTGTAAACAATTTCAATACTTAAAAATATGCTAAAGCATAGATTATTTTTCATATAAAAAAACAAGCAAGTGTGTAAAAGCACTACGGTACACCACAGTATCAACAGATGGTGCCTGTTAATTTTGCACATCAGCATATGCTCTTGCCTTTAGAAATACAAGTATCCAGGAAATATGTTCTATGGGGAGGACTGAGTTCATGTTGAAGTAACATGACATAAAACATAGTAGGAAAAATGTTTATGCAGTAGTGACCTATCACAGATTTAGCATATTGAAATTCATTTTACCTCTAATCCCTTAGGTTGAGGTGTCTCTTCCTCATCTTCTTCTCTTAGCCTTTTATTTTTCCTTCTCTTACTAGAAGAGGTTGCCTGAGGAGTGCTTTTCTTAGTGCTTGGTGTGGCAGAATCTGTTCAACAAGAGGAGTCAAAACACATTAATAAACAGGAATGTCTGATACAAAAGCAAGCTTTATTTTCATTAGTTTTATTAAAATGTGATGATAGACGTGGAATGGTGGCTATTTAAGAAAACCAATAAAACTAATAAAATTTGTAATATGTCAAATATGAAAAAAATGTCTACTATTAGACAAATAGTAAAATCTCCATTATTTAACTAAGAACATTATGATACAATAATTTTTTTTTAAAAGAAAGACACATGAGGGTCTATTTACCCCGGATTCCCCAACTGCAAGAGAATATTTTTCAGGTTTTTTTTAATGATATGTTTTGTCAAATGTCAAGAAAATTGTGCATGTGTATAAAAATGTTTTGGCCATTGTTTTTATCATCAATGTATTAGTTGAATATGAAAAAATATTATAGGCAAGATTAACAGAAAAGGGGGGAAAAGTTAAGGTGAGCAACTACAGCTAAATTATAAAATAAAAACCATTTTCCCCCACATAATTTTTATACCTGTGGTTCTCTTTCCTGAGCCTGGTGCTGAGCTGGATGAAGTGTCAAGATTGCTAACAGCCACTGCACCTCTTGGAGTTGAAACAATTGACGGTCTACCTTTTTTAGCAGTTGGTGTGGGTGTTGTTTCATCATCAATTTTTCTTTTACGAGATGATTTCACAGGAGATGGAGATTGTGTCACAGAACTTTTATTTGGTGTAGATTTCTTGTTTGGTGTTGGTTTAGAACTAAGTGATTTGGATCTTGGTAGTTCAGAAGAAAAAATGTCATCAGTGGGTAACTTCATATATTGAGGTAGCTGACCTATAACATTCTTACTTGATGCTACTATATTCACTTCATCAGCAGCTAATTTGTTTTGTGCACTGCTATCTAGTTCTGTTTCCGGGTTAGACTTTTTAGACTCTCTCTCTTTTTTCTTAGACTGTATATCCTTCAAGTTCTGCTTAAGTTTTGCCATTTTTTTCTTGATATCACCCAATTTTCTACTAGCTCTTTGAAAAAATGGATGTATAGAAGCTAATCCTTTCTTTTCCTTCTTTTGGTCTTTAGATTTTATACTTTTTGACTCTTTGATATCCATCTTTTGAGAACTACCATCATCAGATTCCACTTCCTCTTCCAATTCAGGTGTTATTAATTCATCATCAACACTTATAGATTCATGTTCAATAACATTTTCTTTCTCAGTTTCAATATCCTTATCTGCATCTTTCTCATCAGTTTTTGCTTTGTCAATCTCTTCATTTACAGTGTCATCTTCTTGTTCTTCATCTTCAACTAACTGTAAATATGTTATGAGTTGCTATGAGTATTTAAATTACAGAGCCATAAAAAATAATACTTAAAGTTAATAAAATTATTAGGACATTGATAATTCCCAAATTATTAGCTCTTTCTTTTATCTGCATAAGATTTGTTAAAATACTAAAAGAAAGATTAGTGTTTATCAAGTCCAAGATGATAAAGTTGTCTTAAATATAGTTCATCTTGTTCACTAATAAAGCAAAGACTTTCAGCCAAAACATTAATTTCTAATTAAGTCTTTAGCAAAGTGTTACCATTATCTGTACTATATAGTTTTTTTTAATAAATTGTTTATACATATATATATGATTATAAGATTAAGAATGACACTCACCTCTGATTCGGGTGGTCGAACAAAGTAAGGTATCTTTCCTCTCTGATAGTCATTTAATATATTCTTAGCTACTGTGCTTAAATCTGCTTCTCCTCCCTGACAAAATAAAATGTAATTTCAGTTTTTCTTATATTAAGAAAAGACTTGGGTAAGTGCCACAGATATTATTATGAATGTGAGAACCACTAATAAGAGTTTGCTGAGCATATTTAAAACCTTGTATTTCCCGTGCACTGTGGCACAGAGAGTGGTGCATTGTGACGAATAAGAATGACCAATCAGCCTCTTTGATTTGGTCATGTGAGTGAGAGATTGATTTTGAGAAAGAAGAAGAGATGAAAACTTTTAAGTGAGGAGATAAGATTTTGGGATTATGTAGGAGTTGTGACAGAGAAGTGAGAACAAAATATTTAGGGATTCAAAGACTGTATCTTATTACATCACATTTTCAGTGAACTCATATATACATTTATTCTTTTTTCATATTGTGAATGTATGGACAAAAAAAACAACAACCTGGAAAGGCTCATGCATTATTTATAACTGTGAAAGTAATCTAAACTTTACAATAGAAGAAATAAAATAAAGACAATCGAGTAAATACTTTAAAACTATAATATTGAAGAAATTCATGTACACAAAAATATAAGGTTAGATGTTTTACCTTTAAAAGCCTGCCTGATTTCTTAGCAACTTGTTCTAAAAAGTCTTCTGGGGTTTCCCAGTCAGTAATCCCATATGTCTTCTGTACATATTCTTTCTTGACCCTCTCCAGGACTGCATGGATGTAGTCTTCTGGTTGATTTACCTTTTCAACACGAACCTTAAATAAAAATTATTTATTTTTTACCTTTTCAACACGAACCTTAAATAAAAATTATTTATTTTTTACCTTTTCAACACGAACCTTAAATAAAAATTATTTATTTTTTACCTTTTCAACACGAACCTTAAATAAAAATTATTAAAAGAAAGTGAAAGGGTTAACATGCAAAAGTGATACAAGTACTAAAGTCTAGCAAGTTCCCATATATTGTCAATGTTCAAAGAAAATAGTTCAGCTTACAACTCCTTTCAGGACAAGGTCTGTAGGGGTGGCCCCAGTTGGATATACAATACCAGGACAATCAATCAGAAACAGGTTGTTCATTAATGTCACATATTGCCAAACCTAAAATAAAGAAAGAAGAACAAAAGTAATTTATAAAATAATAAAAAAAAAAAAATTCTTTGACAGCAAGAAAGAAGGTCAGACAGATAGTAACAGACATTGCCAAATTATTTAAATTACGAACTCAAAGCATTCTTAAACATTTGATAATAGTTTTTATAGACACAAAGCGGTAAAAACCGACTATTGTTATCATTTGACTAACCTCATATAAAAACGATTTTTAGTAAACAAAATACTTCCTGGGAAATTTTCCCTTCCCAGAAAATCTTGGGTACATACTTTTAGAACACAATTTTGGTTTATTTAAATTTCATCAAACGTCAAATTTTTCCTATAAACTGAGACCTTTAAAACCTAGTTAACTGCGCTGACTTACTAAGCTTAGAAGCTCTACACAGATTCTCAAGCATTTTCAAGTCAAGACCACATTCAAATAGAAGAAAAGTGCCCTTACCACCATATGTTCATTTTTTAAAAAAAAAGGAAAATGCTATAATAACTTAATTTTCCAACATAATGTAATTGGCAACATACTAAATGTCATGAATGAAATTATAACTCAAACTTTAAGACCTTAATTTTAAAAAAAAACAATCTAAAAATCACAACTTCTCTTTTACTATTTAGCAGTTGTCGAAAGAGCAACTCATCTTATGCTTATACATACATTAAGAATAAATATGGCAATGAACTTAAGGTTATATCTATCTTTATTTGAGCCTGTTTTTAAAGAAAAAAACTAGGATCCATGAAACAAGCCCAAGGATCATATTGAGCTGTTAACAATTAAAAGAGGCACTAGGGACTACTTGCATACAAGAAGAGAAACTTCTAATAAATATGCTGTCAGAAACATCTTTCTGCACTAAAATGATACTTTCAAATTTTTGTCCAGATAATTTTCACTATGAATTGTTAGTTACTAAAAGTATTGAGCGCTGCCTTTGATCTATGTACTGTAACAAAATACACGTCTCCAACATATTGGGGAAATTTTTGTTGAATCACATTATTTCAAATTGGTTTTATTTTCAGCTAATGAATCAATAATTGCTTTGTGATGATGATTTAATGCTGCTTCATTTAATCATCATTGCAAAAAAATTAGAGATGGCAATCACTTTGCAGAACACAAGATAAAGCCATGATTTTGAGATCCCTGGTTCAAACCAGGATGTAACGGTACAGGGTTATAATCTAAAAATCTATGTGTTATATTCATGTATAATATTTACCTTAGTTTCTCCAGGGACAGGAGCCACATTACAGACTTTTTTAGATTTGAGAGCATTGATTATTGAACTTTTTCCGACGTTAGGGTACCCTATTAGACCGACACTGACTTGTTTTTTGTCTTTATGTAACTGAAATATATATATATATTTTTTTTAAAGAGAAGGAACAGGCAAATGTAGGAACCAAAATTTCACAAGCACATGAAAATTTGTGTGATTGTTTAAGAAAACTGCTTTTCATCACATACAAAAATGAACTTAAGGAAATTATTTTGGATATCTGATAACAGATTATTGACTACTTTAATATCTCATCTAGTTAATGAGTTATAGTTTTGAAACATTTTGAGTAAAGCTAGTATTAATATTAAATTTTTTAAAACAGAATTTTCTGCTTTCAGGTTTAAAAGCAAATTAGTTTTTGATTGTGGCTAGGTACCTTTGTAAACTGACGCAATAATGAAATCAAATCTCCTTTTCCAAAGCAATTAGTGATGCTAGCCCTGAAAGCCATGGTTGGATGTTCTGCTGACAGAATAGCCACCCATTTTTTCTGGCAAATACAAATGTAAAGATTAAATATAGTCAAGGTTAAATATGGATTATTAATTTTGAGAAAAATGTATAAATATATTCTTACATAATTTTGAATTTTAAAACTTAAGACTTTTACTGTTGGATGTGATAATAATTTCATTTGGAAAACTGATTATTGGTTATAGGACTGGCATTATAATCCAATTATTGGTTTTATTAGCCTCAATCTTAAGTACCAAAGTACTCGCTAAGCAAGCTGCATAAAACCTCATGTGGCCAGGGTGAATTTTTGTGAAACAACAGGTGATGACTACTTTCCTTATTACCGGTATAATAAAAAATTGGCTCAATGGTTAACATTTTAGGGCTCAACATATTAACATTTAGTTAGCGTGAAAAATATTTGAAAGTTTAACAATGGATATTTACCCTCTCCATGGACAAACATGTCACGAATATATGCAGATCAGCATATAACGAAATTAGAAAAATCAGCACCATTAGACACCTCCTCTCCTTTGATGCCACAAAAACTCTCGTCTCTTCACTCATTCTTTCAAAATTTGACTACTGTAACATTCTTCTCTCAGGCATTCCTCAACACCACATAGAAAAACTTCAGAAGGCACAGAACTCAGCATGCAGACTCATTTTTAAATTAAAGAAACATGACCACATTCAACCACACATGCGGCAACTCCACTGGCTTCCAATATCCTCTCGCATCAAATACAAGTCTTCCAATCTTTGCTTCAACTCGTTCACTGACCCTCACTTTCCTGTCTATCTCTCTGAACTGTTGCTTCCTTACATCCCCACAAGACAACTACGTTCTTCCATTGACAGTAGAACCCTCTCAATCCCAAGAACTAAAACTAAGACCATCGGTGAACGCTCCTTCTGCTTCCATGGGCCCACGTTCTGGAACCAGCTCCCCTTCCATATACGTCATAGTGAAACCTCGTCCATTTTCAAAAAGTCCCTTAAAACTCATCTGTTTAGGTCCGCCTATGACCTGTGATGCACCCTCCTTGCCCTACCTAATTTTCTGTTTCGGTTTAATCCTGAAGTGTCAAAGTGTCCTCTTTTTATAGCCATTTTCATTGTTTCTATAGAATAGTAGTTACTATCCTAGTGTCTCATTTGTATTTACTTAGTTTACATGTTTTAATAATTGTAAAGCGCTTAGAGCTTTATGATAAGCGCTATATAAAAATGCCTAAATAAATAAATAAATAAATATTACATAAAAGGTGGGGAGGATTTCTGATTTCAGAAAACATTTACAAAATTTTGCTTTGGTTAATAGATGGTAAAACTATCACACAGATAATCAAGGGAGCTTACAATAGCCCAATTGGGCACAAGGTCTGCCTTGTTCAAAACAAATACAAGGTGCTTGTGTGGCTTTTCCCTTTTTAGATAGCTCTCAACTTGTCTACACCGGGTGCCATTGGGGTCTCGTGCATCCAAGACCTGAACCAACACATCCGAAGAATCAATAACCTAAAAAGTAAAGTAAACAAAAATCATTCAACCGTTAGTTTTAAATTAAATTTATGATTCTTCAACTCTTTTAATCAAACAGCTTTACAGATTAGTCTAGGTGCAATACCAATGAGGTACAATTAATGTAAAAAAGTGCTCACATTTTCAAAAAAAATCATTTGCATAATATAATTTTCATATTATTGCTTTGCATATATGTTAGGAGAATGCAGTTCTAGATTTATTGTCTCAAACAATGGTTAACAATATTTTTGATTTCTTAAGAACACACTTTCATGATGTAAAAAAAATAAATAATAATATAATAAAACTTCAATGATAGAGATGTACTGAGAATTTACCAAAAAAATATATCAAGGCCCCAAACTTTTGTGAGAACACCCTGATTTAGGAAGCATGAAGTTAGAAGTTGATATTTTGAACAATAATTATTCAACATATAATTTATGGTTTAAATCAATAAGTAATTCTCTATATTTAAGAGTGTAATCTTTTTCACGCCTGTAAACCAAATCAAAAGAATTAAGGCTATATGCATAAAAAATCATATGCCTATAAAAATGATTAAAGATATTTTTTTAAAACAATAAATAACATTGTTACACATCATATTGATTACTCCACAAATTAATTTAAGATGTAATATGTGTATATTAACACTGTTAGAAATAAAATACAAAAAGGAGAAAGGAAAGTCAGGGTCAGATATTTTCCAGCTTTCTTTCTAGGATAAATTATAAAATAATTATTACCCAGAGAAAATAAAGATGACAAGAATTGGACTTTGGTAATCTCTAAACTAGAACACCATAAGGCTGCACTCATTAGTATCATCTAGAATTCTAGAAATATTGTATGGTTCATAATTAAAAGAGTAAGAACAGTAAGACTAAACCAGCATTCTGAAAGAAAACATTTGAAACACAAGACTACACAGTTGACAGAGAAACAAGCAATCAATTAATTTAGAAAAGGAAGAACAAATTTGCAGAGGGCTAGCTATTAATTTCAAGCATACTGTCTATACAAACTATCAGTAAAAACTAAGAAATCGAATAATTCACCCCCGATAAAAAAAAGTGTTGTTGATATTTTGAACCACGTTAACAAAATAATCTTAAGTGGCTTGATTATTCAACATATCATATGTGGCCTATACAAACAAGTAAAGACTAATAAATCACTTTACTTAAAAATGTATAAGCCAATGGTAAATAATCACATCACAAGACTCTCCAATTATACACAGGAAACTAAAATAATGCCTGAAAAGCATTTACCACTCTTGTTTTACCTAAATAATGCACAATATGATGAATATGACCTCTTTGTAAATCCTTTATATTAATTTTGCTTTTGTTCATGTGTGTGGCAAAATCTTCGGAAGGCTAAATGACCCACTTCACATGCTGAAGCTTTGCACATAGACTTATTGCCGATGACAACACATCCTATCAATTTTTCAGCCCTACCCCCACACCCAAAAATTAATTTTTCGTGTTTTTCAAGGGGAAGATGAATAAAATATGATTTGTTCAATGGGTGCTTATTTTGGTTTGGGAATTAATTGTGTAGCTGCTGTTTTGTATTTGTGAAGTATTTGGATATGTAGTAAAAATAAAATTTATTTTTGAAGGGGAAAAATGAAGGAAATATAAAACTTGTTTTTGCCAGAGTTTAACCATTCACATATCCACTTCTTTAGAAAAGGAAGAACAAACTTGCAGAGGGCTAGATATTAATTTCAAACATATAAACTTTACACACTTCCAGTATAAACTAAGAAATCAAATAAGAAAAGTGTTGTTGATATTTTGAACCACATTAACAAAATAATTTTAAGTGGCTTGATTATTCAACATATGATATATGGCCTGAACAAAAAAGTAAAGACAAATAAATTACTTCACTTAAAAAATGTATCAGCCAATAGTAAATAAAAATAAAATCACATGACTCTCAGCTTTATAATTATACACAGAAAACTAAAATGAAAAAAAAAAAAACTCACTTTATAAAGCTCATTCCATATTCTTTTAGAGGTTCCTGCTTTAAAGACTATTTCCAACTGCCCATCTTTAACACCATCTTCGTGAGTTACCACTAAACTCTGACTCTCTTCCCATTTTGTCAAGTCATCTTCAGCATTCTTAACCATTTCCTTTTAATATAGACATTAAATAATTTAAGTCAGCGATCCTATGTTGAGACCGAACAGATACTTACATGGAATATACGTAGGTTAACATAGCCCAGGAAAAATTAATTGACTTAGTTGACTAATTTTAGTGTAAAAAATGTTATGTGAACCATTTAAATCTCAAATAATGATTTAAATATTTAAATATTTAAAAAAACAAACTTGAGTTTTAAAAATAATCTTACGCCAAGATCATAAGTGCTTAGTGTTGGCCTTTTTCTTGTGGCTTTTTTGCCAAAGACCTGCTCGAATGGTTCTCTATCCAGCAGTCGTGGTGCTGTTGCCTGGAAATAAATTGTGTTTTAAGTCAAACCAAGCCCTATACTTTGACAGAGAAATATTTACAAATATATGTTTTACATTTCAAAAGAATAATTTTGTAAAACACAGTACCGCTTTTGGAGTGTAGCTAAGAAGTGTGACTGGATTCTTCGTTGGGTTCATCACCACTTTGTAAGGATCTGCCTTCACTTTATTCATTGCCTCATTAAACGCCTGTAAAGCATTTTGAGTTACCACTCTTGTATTACCTAAAAAATGAACGAAATGACCTTTTTGTAAATCCTTCATATTAATTTCACTTTTGTTTGTGTGTGGGGCAAAATCTTCAGATGAATAAATGTTATTTGATCCATGGGTGCGTTTTTTGGTGTGGAGATTGTGTAGCAGTTGCTATGAACTTTGTATTTGTGACATATTTGAGTATGCAGTAAAAATAAAATTTATTTTTGAAGGGGAAAATGAAGGAAATATGAAACGTGTATTCACCAGAAGTTTATCCATTTACATATCTTCTTCTTTAGAAATGATAAATCACATACAATTACATAAATTAAATGCAAACAAAACTGCAAATAAAGGATTTATACAAAAATATTTGTTTGTAGGGGTTGCTTAATTACGTTTTGTTATTTAAGTTAAAACTACTACCGTAAAATGGGGTAACTTTGGCCTGTTGGGGTAACTTTGGGCCAGGGGGAGAAAAAAGATTTTAAATTGTATATTTATTTTTTGAATTATTACTGGCAATTGAAACTAAATTGTGTTAAATATTAAACCATTTCAAAATATTTTCAATCAATGTGCTGGTGTCCTATTACATTAGTTGCAGAATAGATTTTAAATTGTATATTTATTTTTTGAATTATTACTGGCAATTGAAACTAAATTGTGTTAAATATTAAACCATTTCAAAATATTTTCAATCAATGTGCTGGTGTCCTATTACATTAGTTGCAGAATTACAACCATTCTTCTTTGGCAGCCATTTTGTGTTGATTTTTTCAAACTGCAAACTTTGTATTTTTTCACAACACAAAAGTGAGTGTAAGTATAATATAATTATATAATATTGTGCATAATAAGATGCTTTAGATGCTAATTATATTATTTAGATATAATTTTCAAGATAAAATAAAATTAGGCAGGTGGCCAATTTTACCCCAAGAAATATCACTACTTTGGGGTAACTTTGGCCATGTGTTAGCCCATTGATTTACTTGTGTGATTTTATTGAAATATATGGTTTTCAAGTTAAGAATGTCAACGAGTTAGGGTTAGTACTTTATTCAGTGGAATTTGTTGTTGTTTTTTTCCTAGGCCTTTAAATTGAATATTTTGGCTCTAATTTAGAGTACCGATAATCTCAAGTCGAAGAATGGATTTATTTTAATCTGTACCCTATATTTGTCTTATGCTTCAGACCCAGCCATGCCACGCACAAGAAAAAGCCTGGGACCAGAAAATATGCCTCGTGTGACGACGAACAACTCCAGAAGGCCTGTGACATGATAACAAGTGGAGCTAGTCAGAGGATTGTGTGTGCTGAGTTAGGGATCACGAGAAGCACTCTTCAAAATAAACTTAAGACCCTGAACCTGTCCTGAAGCGTATTCCACACAATGATGAAAATGAGGACTCAGTCAACGCATCAGTTGCAGATTCATTCGTATCTCACCTACAAGAGATTTGGTTTGGCAAAGAGGATGAGGTAACGCGGAGACGTTAGCGTCGTCTGGATGTTGAGCCTGGAAAAAGTGTTGTTGGGCCTTCTGAGGATGAGGTTATAGATACTGACACACATGATTATCCTTCTCCTAGCAGCACAGAGAATGTAATCGCAGACCAACCACATCATGATCTTGCTGCTAACCTTTCTGAACATCAGACAAGTAGTGATTCTGATAGTATGGGCAACATATCATTTTCTTATTCAGATGAAGAATGGCTACCAGCACCTGAGTCAGATGAAGAATTGCTACCAAGCTACCAGCACCTAAGAAACGCACATTTTTTATCATTTTAGAGCAGTTTACTAAATGAAATTATCATTCAGTGTTCATTTTTACATTTTAAAAATATCTTTTGTGGCCAAAGTAACTCTAGTATTGTCAAACTTTGTTTTTGTATATTCTTTGTATAGCCTGCCAAAGTAACCCCATGTTGGGGTAACTTTGGCCACTAATTATTTTTTTAAAATAATAAAAAAATTGAAGAAATAATCGTTTTTGAATTATGTGTACTTAATGGTAATGCTATAGCCCATGAGATCAACTGTTAAATTCATAATTACAATTACGGGTATTGTCGGAATATTCAATGTTTCACATAAAATGGACCAAAGTTACCCCATTTTACGGTAAGTGTTTTGTCAGAATAGTTTTAACAACATGGGGAGCAGATGAAAACAAAAATACTTTTTATCAAACAATTGTAGTTTATAATATTTTCTAAAGTGAATCTACTTTTATTTTATTACACTTTGTCCTGTTCAAACTGTCCTGTTCAAACTTTTTTTTTATACATCTATAGCATATTACAAATTTAAAACAAAAATTAAAATTACCCACTAAATTCATCATGTTTTATGTAAACTTTGTCCTTGTAGAAGCTCCAATACTATAACAGTCCAATTATGGTATATTTAGGAATTAATAAAAGGACTGCATCATGGGAAGGCAAAATGAAAAAAATAAATTAAAAAATGCAGATGTAACTCACCAAACCATTTTCTGTTTGGCTCTACCCTTGCCATTGATCCAGATTTTAGCGTAGATTGAAAAGGAGCAGCCTTAATAATCCTTCCAGATCGATCTCTGAAAGTATTATTTGTAATATCTTCATGTATAAAAAGAAGTCACTTAAAGTTGTAAACCTGAAAAAAATTATTAATGCCCTCTAACTATTATAATATTGTACATTAATTCAATATTTGTGTTAGTAAGAGAATAAACAGATTCATTGGAAAAAAAAATAAACCAACCTTTTTGGCTTGAAATTACGGTACATTTGTATTCGGTTTATTGTTGATCTGTCTCTCATTCCTGCTGAGGTTTTCGGCCGATCTAAATTCATTGAAAGAGACAAAATATCAAGTTTGAATAAGGATCACATTGCACTAACGTTGACTTTCTTGCAAAAAAAAAACCCCCCAAACACTTGAATTAGTTAATATAGTAACAAGGAATTAAATTTTAAATGTATTTTTGAATCCACACCTGCGGTGTACAATAGTTTTTTGTTTTTAGCACATGTGTGGCCGTCAAGCCATTGCAATGGTAACAATTCCTAAAATAATTTAAATCTCTATCACAGACTTACAATTGGAGTGAGCATATTTATTGTGATTTTATAATCACAAGTAAAGCAAAACTAAGGGAGAAGAATATTGTTTTCCTTAATGTCATATAATGAGTGAGAAACTTTGCAATCATCCTGTTAAAAAAGTAGTTTAAAACTCTGACACAAAGCACACCCAGAGTCTTCCCAAAGAATCTCACATATAAATTAGGAAGAATGCCTGCTCTTGAGGTTTGTAACAGATGAAAAGGTTGACACACATTCACATAACCATGTGGACTCCAACATCAAGTGACCACTTTGCATAGCAAGCTTATTAGATTCAAAAGCACATTTAGTGATCTTTACGGTGGGGGCCCTTTTGTTTGGGCAAATTTGCCATAGGCCATTTTATATGGAGCGACTAAAATCACATCATCAAAATGCCAACAAATTCAGATAACTATTTAATTTCAAAAATAAATAACAGTATTGAGTGTTAACAAATTTTTCAGATAGATCTTTATATATAAGATCATCACTATCAATTTTCACATTAATTTTAATAATATTCTATTCTACATTTATCTATTAGATTGTTTTATCCTCTAAACTTCTGTCTAATAAACTTAGCATGTTTTTGCACATGAGCTTTCTACTCTTAGTAAATTTTTTACAAAAGAAGATAAAAACAATAATAATAAAATAATAAATAATACAAAAACTAGAATATACTCTAGTTTCAGTCGTTTTTGAGCTATGAGTGCAATAGGACAGAATCATTTTGCTGTATTACTGTTAGTGGCGTCTCTTTGTTCTCAATGGCAGGTTTACAGAGATTAATCAGATTTCAAATAGTTAATCAAATGTAAATTTTAATGATGTAGCAATATGGACTGAGATTTGGCATATGCTTACACTTTGCGAAGCGACAAATAACCTCAATACAACTATGGATAGATAAAATGATATGGATGTGTCCGATTGGTGGTTTGAGAAAAAAATATACATGATGGCTCACTCTTTTTCTGACTGTGATTGACAGTATTTAATTTTATTTGAGTGGATATCGTTGTGTGTTATATGGAGAGCCTATGGTTGTTGATGTGAAAAGAATACTATTATTATTATTATTATTTAGGCATTTTTGTATAGCGCTTACCTTACAACTCTAAGCGCTTTACAATTATTAAAAATATGTAAAATATTTAAACTGCTAAAGCAAAATAAAAATGAAAAACCAGAGACACTAGAATAGTAACTACAATGTGAAAAATGACTATAAAAACAGTAGCTAAAACATTTAAATGGCTATAAAAACAAGTACACTTGGCACGTTTTGGCATATACTTAAACACAGGATCAACCCGAGACAGAAAATGAGGCAGGGCCAGGAGGGTGCATCACAGCTCATAGGCGGACCTAAACAGATGGGTTTTAAGGGACTTTTTGACGGGGTTTCACAATGACAGATGTGGAAGGGGAACTGGTTCCAGAATGTGGGTGCATGGAAGTAGAAGGAGTGTTCACCGATGGTCTTAGTTTTGGTTTTTGGGATTGAGAGGGTTCTATTGTCAGTTGAAGAGCGTAGTTGTCTTTTGGGGATGTAAGGAAGCAATAGTTCAGAGAGATAGACAGGAAAGTGAGGGTCAGTGAAAGAGTTGAAGAATAGATTGGCAGACTTATACTTGATGCGAGAAAATATTAGAAGCCAGTGGCGTTGCTGAATGTGTGGTTGAATGTGGTTGTGTTTCTTTGATTTAAAAATGAGTCTGCATGCTGAGTTCTGTGCCTTCTGAAGTTTGTCTATGTGGTATTGAGGAATGCCTGCGAGAAGAGTGTTACAGTAGTCAAATTTTGAAAGCATGAGTGAAGAGATGAGAGTTTTTGTGGCATCAAAGGAGAGGAGGTGTCTAATGGTGTTGATTTTTCTAATTTCGTTGTATGCTGATCTGCATATGTTGGTGACATGTTTGTCCATGGAGAGGGTGTCTGTAAGCGTGACTCCAAGCTTTCTGGCAGAGGAAGAGCGTGTGATGTCAGAGTTGCTGATATATATAGAAGGAGCGGATGGAGGGAGAGGTTTGTTTTGAGAGTGGATGAGAAGGATTTCCGTATTATCATCATTTAGCTTCAGTTTGTTGCAAGTCATCCAACGCTTTACGCCGTCTGCGCACTCCTGCATGCGAAGGATTGTTGGCATCAAGTTGATCAGGAAAGCAAGAATCACTGATTTGAGTGTCATCAGCAAAGTATTGACTGGAAACTGAGTGGTGTCTAATTAGAGATGATAGAGGTTTAGTGTAGAGGATGAAAAGGACCGGCCCAAGGACCGATCCAATAGACAGAGCTGGAGGTTTGGAAGAGCGGTTGGAAATAGAGACTGTTTGAGTTCTGTCAGAAAGATAAGATTGAAACCAGTTTAGAGCTGAGCCAGTAAGTCCGAAAGAAAGATGAAGACGGTCAAGAAGAATCTGGTGGTCAATGGTATCAAATGCAGCAGAGAGATCTAACAGAGTGAGAATAGAGAGTTTGCCACCATCCATCGCGCACAGGAGGTTGCTCATGACTCGGACCAGTGCTGTTTCTGTGCTATGACCAGGCCGGTAGGCGGACTGAGAGGAAGGATAGAGATTGCGAGAGTGAAGATAGTCAGAGAGCTGAGAGAGTACAAGTTTTTCTATGATTTTTGATAGAAAGGAGAGGTTACTGACGGGGCTGTAATTCTTGAGTGTGTTTGGGTCAAGTGAAGGTTTCTTTAGGAGTAGCAGGACTATTGACCATTTAAAAATGGGAGGGAAGATGCCAGAGAGAATAGAAGAAGTTATGATGGAGGTGAGTGCTGGGAGGAGTACGTCCAAGCATTCTACCAGCAGTGGGACGGGGATCGGATCGAGGGCACAAGACTTGGGAGCAGACCTGATGATGACTCGCTTCACCTCACCCTCAGTCACAGGCAGGAATCTATCAAATGATTCTGTCTGACTAACGTCCTCCGAGAACGGTGAGGAAGGTGTAGGGGTCACACTGTCTAGCTCCTCCCTGATCGTTTGCTCCCTGGTGATGAAAAAGTCTGCAAAGGCGCCAGGGAGTTGCTCTGGTGCAATGTCGGAAGAAAGGGTGGAATTATTGCTGTTGCCAAGAAGACGGTTGCTAGCTAGCGCTGAACAGCGCCTTGGTTGATACATATGATTCAATCTTTGAGCTCCTGCCACCGCCTCCTTGGCTGTCCAAAAGATCTGTCTGTCGACACTCATTCCGGTCTTTAGCCAGCGTCTTTCAGCACATCTCCGCTCGAGTTTTGCAAGATGAAGTTGGTCGCTAACGCCCGCATACCATGGCGACGAGCGACCAGTCGGGACATGTCGCGCCATGGGAGGGGCATGCTCGCCCAAGAGTACGCGGAGGCCATTATCCAGATGCTGAGTGCTGAGCTCAGCACCTATCCCTTGAAGTATTGTCTCAATGTCGGCTTTGAAGGCCGCTGTCTATAGCGTTTATCCAGGCGTAGAGGCATCACGAATGGCATCCCTGTGCAATGTTAAAGCAGGCCCATATGAGCTCATGTATTTCAGTGGACGCCCAATGGTAATGAGTCCAATGGTAGCATCACCAATCTTTTGACGCACTATCTTTGTAGGAGCTGAGTGACGAGATCTCATCTTCCTTTTTCCCCCGCAAAAACCTCTTGCAGTTTTCTTTTTTTATTAAATGAAGTGTTCAACATCGTGTAAGAATTTCACCACTAAGGAGATAGCTATCAGTTAAAAGGTTACATAGCTGACGCAGTCTGGTGGATGAATAGTGAAGGCAGGGATTTCTTTCAAGTTAATAAAAACAACTCGAAACAGACAAACACTTTTGTGGCCTGAAATGTCGCCACACAGCATTCCCATTCCACATAGTGTTATTTAGAAATTAAATTATCCGGAAATAAAATTCGTGAGAAAACTTCCAAAAATGCGTAGTTGTGAAGAGATTTCACCACTATCTAGCAAGCGAATCGAGAACCGGAAGTAATATGTCGATAGCCTTGACTGTCTATGTTTATATAAATTAAGAATGGAAAAACACAGAATAAGTCGAATAATCCTTAGTTATTTTCGAAATACATTACATTCCTACGTCCAGGAGACATTTAGATACAAACTTGTCCAACTATTGAGGAATAAAATTGGAGAAACTCATTCCAAAAAAGGAAAAAAAATGTGGGGAGATTTCACTGCTGCCTGTCATGTAGAGAAATGAATTATCTATCATTTGATACCAAATATGTATGGATGTATTAAAAAGTTACAAAAAAATTTTAATTTTGAAAAATAAGCACTAACAAAATATTTTACAGGATAATTTCTTTACTTTTATTGGTAAGTCAGTTCCTCGGTTTAGTTTTGCATGGAACTGGGCAAAACAGAGCTCATCATAAAGGTGTGTGTTACGCAACACACATCCAAACACAGTTTCTGGTTTTATATTTGACTCGAAACAAATGTTTTTCTGCTGACACTGGAAACATTTTTTTTTATGTCCTGGGTTCAGGAACAGCCAAACCACCAGCAGCAAGGACCTCCATTTGTCTTCTTTTTCTTGTAGAGTCTTTCATAAGGAAACGTCCAAATGAAAATTAAAATGGGACACTGGCATTGATGTCGGGGGCGTGGCATATTTTCAAAATAAAATCAATGCATTCTACACTGCCGTGTCAACTAAAAACCATAGACAGCATCTCCAACATGTGTGGCTTTTTCTTCTTTGACACCCTCATGGGTGGGGCTTTCCTTTTAAATACTGTTTGACGATAGGCGACCTCTGTAAGGAATCATAGCTTCATCAAAAGCCATAGAAGCTCCAAGTCTGTAGAGAGAATTACAGGCAGCGTTGACAACTGTGACCACTGGTCTTATTTTATCAAGTGGATCATATCCCAGCTTGGCCCATCGAAATGTAATACCTGTATCTGCCAGATGGAAGTATCTCGAAATTTTGTGCAACCTGTTTCTGGACATGACTGTGACATCAGCTACAATTGGAACTTTTAGTAAAAGATCTGTTGACCAGTTCATTGTTTATGTATATAAATATCTGAATGTCATTGACAGTGAAAGGAGTGAAACTGTATTTCTGTCTGCGCCATACAAATTGGTCTGGTCAACAATCATTCATTTCAAGTAAAAAAATAGTTTTAAAAAACTCCACTGGCTACGACCATAAATCAATATTTAAATTGTCAACATTAGGCCTAAATCCTGATGTAATATGTCAATTTCCACTGGATTGAGAGTAAAAGTAGCTTCACTATCACTATTGTCACCTACCGAGACATCGTCGGGGCTCTCATTTTCAATATCAGTATTAGTATTATTAACACTTTGATCAGGTGTTTCTCCTAATCCATTTTCAACATTACTTTCTTTTGAATTACTATCGCTTTCATTATTACTGTTTGAAACATTTGACCTCTGAACCAAACTTTCTAGTCAGATAAGTATCAGAATGCCATGATTTCAATGATTCATAGCTCGCATGTTTCTCAGAGTATTTCATTTCAGCAAAAAGAAATAGAGTTTTTCAACTTTCTGACTATAGCTGGTTTAATATTTTAAAACATCATTTCATAGTCATAGTCATCATACATCAAACTAAATCATACATTTGCCTTGTCACTTGTATATAGCTGACGATGGCGGGCTACACAGTAAAAAATGCTGGCGGGGAATACAGTAAGTTACTGAATAAGTGGTCAGGTCATCTCTAACTCTGATTCGATAGGAGGGACTTAATTATTTAGTATTTAGATGACACCCTACTAAGCCTAATTTAAGCCCTTTTCACTTTTTAGTATGTTGACTCTGAATTGTGCAGAGTTAAATGAGAGGCAGTGTTTTTGATTTTATATAATTGGACGGTACCATTTTGCTTTATATTCTGGTGTTTAATTCTCTATTGCAGTAAAAGTATGTTTCATTACTAATTAATTTCCCAACAATTGAATTACCAACAATAATAATAATGCCAATATTTAACATTATCATCATCTTATCACATTCACAAATCAAAACTTTTGTCTTTGCCTAAAGACTTGATTATTATTTTAATCAAATCATTTAATAATTACCTGGATTCATGCTATGGTTAGCTTTATTCAGTGTTTGTCTTGGTTTACCCATTTTTAGTGGGTTTGGCTTAAATTTGATAACTAAATTTCTTTACAAACAGGCTTATGATTCTTTTCCTTATTCCTACTGATATTCTCACAGTTAAGTAACGTGCAGAACCGGAAACATGAAGGTTAGGCTTGTAACCGAGATCCAAGATTTAACTGAGATCGAAAGTTTGATTTATGAAAAAAGACACAATGATAGAATTCTATATTATGCAGAATTCACTTAAAACTGCAGACACATTAAATCATAATTTATTTTCTGTGCTCATACATTTTAAAAGCTAACTCTTTAGCCTTTACCCGAGGAGGAGTACACTATAAAGTTGGCGCATTCCAACTTTTAAAATGCTATTTCATCTCATTTTATTAAAAAAGCTTTTATGATTTATGTCTTCTATGAAAAAAGACAAAGCTTCCAAGTAAATTAAAAATAGAAGACATGATAGTCTTTTAAGCATGTAGAATAACATATGGAATTAAAATAACTAAGGTGACAAAGGTTGAACTAAAATTTATAATTAATTACAAGAATGCTACCAACGACCAATAATTATAATCAAATTATAATTTAGGAAGCTGAAAGCAGACATTAAAAAAAAATAATTGCATCTTAAGTTGCTACTGATAAACCTTTTACTAAAAGTTTAGTAATTTTACCATTGCCATTATATTATCATTGTCATTTGCAACTAGATAACATTATTCACATTACATTTACAAGTGGTATCTTGTATCTCGGTAAAGAGGTTAATTTTCTACAATTTGTTTCTAAATGATTAGGATTATCTCCCTCCTTCCCTTCCCTTCCCAACGCTAATTTAAGTTACCAGCTGCTGAAAGTTCATTGATACTTCAATGAGCAAAAGGGTCTGAATAGGTCTAAATTCGACGCCTTACTGCCTTACTATACTTAATATCTTTATAGTAACTTAGAAAAACTGTATAAATACCCTGGCCTTGGCCTTGATGGCCAGGATGCTCATTCACCCAGTGAGAGTGTCGCGATAACAATGATAATGACTGTTACTGCTAAACTAAATAATAACTTAGGCATAGTCTGGTAGCCATTTAATCAATGAATGTGATTCAAATAGTTTATATTCGGTCCCGAATCATTCTGCCACTTAAGGGGCCAAAGCCAGCACCTTCGAAACATTTCCTTAAGTAAGAGTAGTAAGACTGCATCATTGTTATTGCATTTAATTTAAAGTTTACAGCAGGAGACATATGCCATACTTATAATGGGCTTAACGGGAGAAAAAGATTTCGGATGACATACTTAGGATATGCAAATCTCAAGGTAGAAATAGAATCACTTTCAAGAAAAAAAAAGGCTAATTGTTTGCTATCTTTTGTACTCGCAGCAGTTTGGTCATATTAGGCTTATTAGGAACTATTTTCCTACACAAGAAAGACAAAGAAATGTGGATTTTACATGAATGAAAGAGCTTTAAAAATAGATTGACATGATAAGTGTTTTGTGTTAGTAGAATAGTTCAAGACTTGTTTAAGCACACTGTTTTAAATTTAAGAGAGGAATAAGCTAGACAGAACAAATCTTAAACATACCAATAAGCTACCCTACATTTTATTTTAGAGCAGTGTCTTATCTAGATAATAATGTTTTTGACAGTCTGGAAAGAGACGCACAATAGAAATTATTTATAAAAGGTTACAAGATTTAGAGTCCTGCATGAAGGATAGCTCTCTGAACCATTACTCTTGAGTAAAGAAAGAGGCAGGGGATACCTGCTGTCACTACTCATTGTTCTGTTGGCCATTGATTTGATCATGAGAAGTACAACAGCTGAATCAAAAAACTTGTATTGAGTGGTCGCCTTTATTTATTTATTTATTTAGGCATTTTTATATAGCGCTTACCTTATAGCTCTAAGCGCTTTACAATTATTAAAAACATGTAAACTAACTACAATAAAAATGAGACTTAGGATAGATTTGGACTTGACAGATGAACTTGCACTCTTTTCCCAAAGCTATAAACATAATATGCAAATCTAAACAGCAGAGCTCAACCAGACAGCTAATTGGATCAGATAAATTATCAATTTGAGAAAAATAAAATTCCAAAAATTAACACAACCAACATAGTAGCAATCCAATATATCTAGTAAAAATGTCATTTAAAGAGGTAGATTTATTTACATAACTTGGAACCATAATTAGTAAACAGGAGGACAAATGAAGACATTTGAACCAAAGTAATGAAAGTGTACCCGGTAATAAAAAATATGTTAATGAAATAAAATAGAGATAAAATACAAAATGGAAAATATTTTCTCTATTAGTGTAAAACATGGAGAACAACCTAACTCAATACCATTTTTTTTATTTTGCACATTTTCCTAAAAATAAAATGATTTTAAAAGATTTGGAAGTGATCCTGTGGAGCAGGAAATGCAGAGGGCAATAAAGTTGGATTTATCATACTTTGAAGAAAGCAGAAGAAATTTTTACTTGAGAGTCTCTGTCATGGAATGCACAGGGCAATAGAAGTGAGAAAGACCACAAAACATGTGGAGATGAGACCTGGACTGAGAAAATGAGAGAAACAGCAAGAAGAAGAATGAACTGGAAATAATAGCACAGAATAGAAATAGATGAGGATAATTTGTGAATGACCTATGCGTCACTAGGAGCAAATGAGGCATAAAAGAAGAAAAATGCATAATCCAGGGCATTGAAGAAAAAATACAATTTAAAATAGTTTTTTTTCACCAGGAATGCATGACTTTAATTGAGTAATATATTAAATGTAAACGATGCACATTCATAATAAATGAACACTTTACTTTCTTACAATCCATAGATATAGATGCCATAATTAAATCATGACACTTCAAGCAATTCGTTACCATCGAGGTCACTTGGAGATTTTAGACCAATTACTATTACCAGATGTAAGCAAATTCATTCCCTTACATAATACAGATGAAGGCTGGATGGCAATAAAGCTCATGCAGGTATGAACAATATTTCTTATTACCATAATATTAATAAATCTTGTAAGTTTTTTTGAAGCATTAATTTGCTTAAGTAAAAGATTTTTCAATGCATAGCAATCTGTATTTTAAAAAAATTATCAATAAAATAGTAAATTAATTCTTATTGATATGTGTAACAGACCATGTTTTCACAAGAAACCAGAGAGGTAGCATGAGTGAACATTGAACTGTGTTGACCATATTTTCCACGAGGAGAGAGAGTGAATTGTATTTTTGAGAAGCAAAAGTGAGCCCCACGTTTTTGGAGAGTAAATTGTTTTTGTAAAGCGGAGGTTTCCACGCTTTGCTGAGTGATAAAAAGGGGCAGTTGATTGAATAGTGTAGTTAAGTGAGGACGTGTTTTTCTGAGAGGTGGAATATTATATATACATATATGTGAAATGATTACATTCATGCAAGGATTATTATTAATATTATCAGTGTAAAGTGTGATATAATAAAGTACTGTAAGTTTAATCAGAATTGAGTATACTTCCTTGCGTGCCTGGATAAGTGACTGGATAAGTAAGTGGAAGAATGGAAGAAGTCTTAGCCAGCATCCTGAATCATTAATATAAAAACAAGTGACCATGCTACTGACATAACGCACTAAGAAATAGCATGTCAGAGCAATGTTTTACAATGGTCACTTTTGCTTCTCAAAAATACAATTCACTCTCTCTCCTCGTGGAAAATATGGTCAACACAGTTCAATTTCAATGTTCACTCATGCTACCTCTCTGGTTTCTTGTGAAAACATGGTCTGTTACAATATGTTATTTATTTTTAAAAATGCATTTCAACAAGCCAGGTTCGGGGTGCTCCAGCAATAGCTATTGTCGGTTGTCTCAGCTTGGCCGTTGAACTCACAAAGAAAGATTTCTCTACGAGGAAAGAACTGAAGGAATTTGTGCATGAAAAACTAAATTATCTGGTTTCTGCGCGCCCTACTGCTGTGAACATAGCTGATGCTGCTGCTAAAGGAAAGACTTTGATAAATCAACTTATAGACAATGAAGACATTGAATTGGAAGATATTAAGCTCAGGTAATTTAATTATATATATATATATATATATATATATATATATATATTGTATTATATAAAAATAATTAAATAAAATCTGTCACAAAAGTTAATGTATGGTAACCAGTTGAAAGCAAAATTATGGGTTAATTCTTTTCATTTTCCAATTTTAACTCCTATAATGTAAATAGAAAGAGAAAATAAATTAATCATAATTGTTGTATTTTGTTTCTTTACATCATTCCTTTTAAAGACAATATATTTTTTACTATTAGTGTGCTATAAAGAAAATTAAGGGTCATGTCATAAGCATATTTCTTTATCTCGTCTTATTAGTCTCATCAAAGAGTTTGAGAACATGCTTCAGGCAGATATTGATGTCAACAGAAGCATTGGAAGATATGGTGCTGAACATATTCTAAAAAACTGTAATAATGAACCTGTTATGGTAATGACGCACTGCAATACAGGATCACTGGCTACTGCTGGTTATGGAACTGCTTTAGGTTTATATTTTCTGTCCTTATACTAACTTAAAATAAGTTATCTTCATTATTCATTAGTTTTAATTGCATGTAACAAAATAAGTTATCTTCATTATTCATTAGTTTTAATTGCATGTAACAATAAAATTTCAGCTGTATCACAAAATTAGACTGACTTTCCCAAGATGTTATGTTTAAAAGAATACAACAGATGACAATAATAGCAATTATTTTTAAGTTTTCTGTTTTCTCAAGGTGTCATTCGCCACCTTCATGAACATAATAAACTTGATCGTGTTTATTGCACTGAGACAAGACCCTACAACCAAGGCGCAAGACTAACTGCGTATGAACTAGTTCACGAGAAAATGAATGCATCTCTGATTTGTGACAATATGGCTGCAGCTTGTATGGCTTCCAATAAAATCCATGCTGTTATTGTGGGTGCTGATAGGGTAGTTGCCAATGGAGACACTGCAAATAAGATTGGCACATACCAACTTGCCATCATTGCAAAGTACCATAACGTCCCCTTTTATGTTGCTTGTCCAAAAACAACATTTGACCCTAATATTAAATCAGGAAAAGATATACACATTGAAATCCGTCCAGAACATGAGATGACAACCCTGAAAGGAATTAAAATTGCTGCTGCAGGTAATTCTTTCACAACTTACATCACTTTCACATTACTTTAAAGTCATATTTGCATATGATACTTTTACCAGGCAGTGTAAAACTATTCTTAAAATTGTGGAAAACATTTCATAAAAATTCAACTATTTGCTTAACTTTAATCATAGTTAATAAATTATGAAAATAACCAGTACCAGTACTCTAGACTTAACTGTGATGATTTCTGATTTGTATCTTTACCAGACCTGTTTACCCTCAAACTCTTAAAATCATACAATATCATCACAAAATCGTTCAATACATTACCTTAGTAGTAAAAAAATTAACGTTTTTGTGATTATACCTAAATCCTTAGTTGCAATACTTATTTATTTTGACAAGTTAGCATCAGAGTCAGAGAGATTAAAATACTGTGTAATGAAAATAATAAATTTGTAATTTTAAAAAATGAACTCACTTCTAAAGAATTTTGCTTTCATTGCTTAGCTAATCTAATCCAAACAGGTATATCATGCTGGAATCCTGCCTTTGATGTGACACCCGCTGAATTAATTACTGGTGGAATTATTACAGAATATGGAGTGTTCAACCCACGGGAGATACAAGACAAATTTAATGAATTTGATCAACAGCGTTGAAATATTTTTTTCATTTTTAAAATTTATTCAATTATCTGAATTTTTAATCAGACGTTTCCATGGGTTGGTATTGAGTAAAAATAAATTGTTTAAAGAACTGTTATTTTTGTAACTCAGATGTTCATCTAATGTGTCATTAAGATGTGCAATATAAATGTTTGTAACAAAAAGAAAAAGGGAGAATTAATGTGTTTGAGTAAATTCAGAGAAAAATAAAATAATTTACATTTCTTATTACCATAAAAGAAGGTGCTAGTATGGTACCGATAGTTTAAAATAATTAAAGAAACATTTGTAATTTAAAAATTTTCGCCATTCTAGTTTCATTGCACCGAATTCACATTATTTATTCAATGTATTTGTGAAAATTTATACCTTTGAATATATACTTCCTATTTAATCAGGTTTTTTTCATCATGTATCAACTCACCTTCTCTAGTCAGATGACAGTTTAAGATTTCACTAATCAAGTTAATTAAAAAAATTGATTAATTAATTAAGATAATCTCGTACCATGAGACTTACTTCTTTATTCTTGTAATTGATTTGAATTCATGTAGCTATTTTCAGTATAAAACATTATTGTTCTGATTGTCAAGGCAACTATTACTTCTACCCATAAATCAGTTTTCAGTTATTATTTAAGTCTATTTACTTTTTGAGATAAAGCCTAGCTCAGAATTTTGAATGGACCACATTAAATTGTGCCTTTTAATTAATACTAATTTGCTTTCCTTTATTGTCTTTTCAATCTTTGTAGTTTTTTTTTTGTGGAAAATTTCATTGAAAATATATCTTTATTATTATGACAGCAAAGTTAATGTGAAGACATTTTGAGATATAATAAAAACTTAATGCAATTCAATTTGTTGTTACATTTTTATTGACTAAATGTGGCTCTCCTCATCATTGGTTTAACAATTTTCTACACCAATAATGTAGTAATTTGGCAAACACAAAAGACTGAAGTGATAGCAATTCTTTATTAATGACTGTAAATGATTATGAATACAGAGTATAGCTTCAAAGTGGGACATGACTGCTTTTGCATAAAAAGCCAAACTATCTTAAAACAAACTGAACACTGAAACCTGTGGTTAAAAATTACAATTTTAAAAACATGAGCAGTTTAAAAATGTCAACTGAAATAAGCATGCGTTTTTTTTTGTTAAGTCAGTATTAGTGTTTTTTTTCCTTTCTTTAAAATTAAAGTAAAGAAATCCAGGTACATGTATTTAATAATTTAAAGGTTTTAAGCCACCAAATCAAGTGAAAATATGAGTAAAATTGCACCACAAAACTAAATGTGGAGATTTTTTACAAACAGAAGAAAGAAAAAAAAATGTTTTTGAGAATATTATCATCTCTAACCAAGATTTTTTTAACATCCAAAATTACATGTACATCATGGGTGGATTATTTGTCAATTTAAGTTGATCAGATGTGAAAATTTTATGTGAATTCATGAATTAACAATTCCTATCCTAAATCTACCCACAAGAATATCAAATGCATTTAAAAGTGTATAGCACCTTCATATTGAATGCATACTACATAGTCTTATCTCATAATTTTATTTTGAGTATTAGATTTTGAGTTTGCTGAGTTATAATACATCAACATAAGTTTAAAGCAAACCCTTTGACAAACATTTTTGTATAAAATTTGGTAAACATTATTAAGCAAAAGTACATTTTTAGAATATTTTACAGACTACAAACCTTAAAATATTAATTTATTTGAGATTACCAGGTAAAGCATGCGTTTCACAATATTATGATATTTATAAGACATGTCACTACAGAATCCCTGATGACAGACATGTAATACTCCTTCTGCTCTTCAGCCTTGTACAACTATTTTGAAATACAATGAGAATTCATCAACAATACTAAACCTGGGATCCAAATTAAACCCTTGTCAAAGAATAATATCTTTCTTAATTTTGAATGTTAAGGAAAAAAATAATAAATCATTATGTGAATATTTAAATAATGCATGGATGTTAACAAAGAAAAACCTACATTAATTTTTTTACGTATATTAAGTAACTTAAATTCTGATGCATTATTAAGTTGAATTTTACTAAAATCACATTTTTTAAAAATGATTTATCTAAATTATTGAATTCTCCGTTCTCATTATTACTTTGGTTATGTTAGGCTTCATGCAAGCAGAAGATGAGAAATTTTAACATGCAAATGAACATTAAAAAATATATATATATTTCTTGAGCATCCTTTACCTTCTGCACATTTTAAATTAGTATAAAGACCCCAAAAAAGTTTGATGTTTAGATTATAACCATAAAAAACCATAAGAATGACTATTAAATTAATGGTTTTCAAATACAATATTCTATTTGTGCCTTCAAACACTAATGTTGCACACAAGATCAGCATATCAAAAGACTAGATTTTATTGGCAAGATCCAGTTTAAAAATAAAATTAGTATTTATTGAGGCATACTGATTCAAGTTAATAAGGCCTCAATCACTTATTTGCACCGTGAAATAAGAACATAAATTACTAATTTAATTGACTTTAAAAGTTTTAGAATATTAAAATTAGTAATAATGATATATAAAACTTTTAAAAATAACATGGACATAAAAACATAACTAAAACTTGATTAAATATATGTTATAAAAATACAAATTTAATTAAATTCATTACATTGACATTAACTAAATTTCATTTATTCCAGAAAAACAACTCAATCTTCACTTGTGCTTCACCACATAAGTACTGTAACAGACACTGTGATTGCACTTAATGGGGGTTTGTCAATTTTAATATAATGAATATGACTGTCAAAAATCTAAATACACAAACAAAAATTACATGTAACTTTGCATCTTTAAATAGAATTTAACCACACTATGAACACGAAGATAGTTTCAAGCATGCAGTGCAAACACTTAAGAGGCTAAACTATTTTTGGAACGTTTGACAGAATAGATTAAGTAGACAGCCAAAAATGAGTAAACACCCAAGTATGAAAAATGAAAAAAGGACAGAGGATACACGGTGGATTTATTATACAGTAGTAATGTGAGCATTTGGCAAGGGAAGAACGGATAATCCAGGATCTTTATAAATGTTAATTTTGTACACAACGGGCGGAACGTTTAATGGTGTTTTGACTAGAAACTGTAGATGAAAATGGTATAAAAAGTGAAAGAGTACTTTATTTTACAAATATACAGCAGAAGAATAAAATGGTAGCCATCACTTTTTTCAAATGTGATAAGAACAACCAAAAACAAGATAATAAACAATAACAAAACCATAAGCCTGCATGCTAATTAAATATGTAGCTAACATTCAGCCAAGGTGCTTAAAAAAGGATTCAGACTTCTAGAACAAATGTTATATTTTTTTTAGGAGCCAAATCCTTTTCAGTGTCCATTATTACATTCCCAAAGCAAGTTTGTTCTGGAAAAAAACAACATTTATAAGACAGTAAAGTATTTACTGCTGATAAATGAGAATGTGAAAAGATAAATAACTTCATAGCCAGTAAAATTTGAAAATAAACCAGCATCAGTTACTTATCCAGAACTCAGCAGCCTATTTGGCCACATCATGCACACCCATATCTGGCATCACCAGGGTCTTAACCCTGTCCATTACTGAATGTTGCAGTACATATTAACAGCTGTTAGCACATTTATTTAAAAATAAAAAATAAAAAAATTTGAGAAAATTAGAAAGAAAAAAAAAAACAAGCTACAACTTTGACATGTTATAGATAGTAAGTTACCATTGAAACAAGGAACAATTAATAAAATGCTTAATAATATATTTGTTGGGGGAGAGATAGAGAGGCTGGGTGAAAATATAATCTTTTACCGTCAGAACAGTAGAGGATGTTAGCTCCTTTAGTAAATATTTCAAAATCTATAATCACTGTCAAAATAATAGCTTGAAAAATATATTCCAATCAATTGTAACAAATAAATAATATCATCTGTGAGTATGTGTATATGAGACATGGGTTTAATCCACTTCACAAAGGTACATGACTATCAACGGAAGTTTAAAAAAACTTCCCTTTTTTAAAAAAGAATCCAACAGTCAACATTGTTGACAATAAAATTTCCTAAATTAAACTGTAGAGTAAACTGATCATACAAACAGGAAACATGTGTCTTTTGTAGTTATTAAATAGAAATGTTAATTAATGCTGATGGCTGCAAGATATTCAAGAATGAAAGACAAACATTTGGTCCAAATCAGTATTTTGAAAAAAATATTCATTTCTTTGATTTAAGGCAGCTTAACTTCCCCACATTAAAAAAAAAAAGAGAGCAATATTACGTCACTGATTGAAGTCTGCATCCATGAGGGCAAACATAACTAAATTGGAAGCACAGGAAAAAATGCTGCAAAGCGAAATTATTTGACTTGTATCAGTGTTTTTGTCAATGTAGGAAAAAAGATTTCCATCTCAATGGAAAAGAATTGAAAAATGTTAATTCTACAAGCAATTATTAAGTAAAATCTTCCTTGTAAAGTCTAGCAGTTCAGGTATCTAAATAAAAGATCAAATTTAAATAAATTAAAAAAAAAAAAAAGAGTAGAAGTAAAAATTAAAGCTTGTTGACAATAGTGCTAAATTATTAAATAAAATCTTACTTGTAAAGTCTAGCAGTTCAGATATCTAAAAAAAAGATCAAATTTAAATAAAATAAAAAAAAAAAAAAGAGTAGAAGTAAAAATTAAAGCTTGTTGACAATAGTGCTGAAACAATTATGTGCATATGGAGGAATTTCTTAATAATATTGAAATGAATTATTTTAAAGAATTAATTTTAACAAATATATAACTCTAATTATTTTTTTATAGCAATCATGTCATGTCCCATAGTCATTACTTTAACTTCCTTAAAACATTTATATTAGACAGTTTATTGCAACTAAATATTACCATACTTTATTTCATTTCAGTCTTAACTAATTATAAGTGTTTGTTTCATCATTAAACATATTGATTGGAAAAATTTACAATAACTAGATCATAATAGACATTTTTTCAAACTCTTTTTAACAAATTGAATCAGATCACTAAAAGTTAGTTCTACTTTTGCGCAGTAAGTAAACCAATTAGCTGCATCTTGGACAAAAAATATCTTAAGAGTGCACAAGATATATTAACATTATTGAAATTCCTAATATTCTTAAAGTTAGTATTTATAAGAATGATCCATTTAGAAAGTTTTTGAAAAGTAGCCAATGAAATAAATGTTAAAGTAAAACTGAAATTTCAATTTTACAATTTACAATTGGGTCAAAGTATTCTTCAGCAAAACGTTTTAAACAAACACCTATTACAATTAACCTGGCACAGAAGCTGAAAAACTAACTTTTAATTTAATTGTCATGGTATTAGACAGGTCCTCATTTAGGTTTAACAATCCTCTCACTGAAGAGATTGCAGTAGTAATACAGGCCAATTTAAAAAAGTATAATATAACATCTTTCTTATCTGCACTGCTGTCAGCAAAGATTTGTAGTAAAAGATAAACAAATAAGGAAATAAATAGAATACATGCATTAATCTTTGTTCTTGTGGAAAAAAATGACCAAATTTTTAATATTTTAAATAGGACCCTCCATGGACCAAAGCTTTTCCACAGATATAAAATAAGCATTAAAAAAATTAAAAACAATAATACAAATTTACAAAATAGTATTTTATCAAGAGTTTCTTACTGATCCTATAATGTTTTATGAATATCTTAATCTTCTCTTTTATGTTAGTATTAGCATTCTTCTTAGCCATCATTGGTGTTAAAAAGGAGTCTGAATTTAAACATCTATAACTGAGTTATTACATATTTTTTAAGATC